GTTCGAGCTTCAGCACTCCACAGTACAGCGTACACTTCTTGCCGTTGACCACCAACTCATTGGACCCTTTTCTGACGAGCCGTTTGAGCCTAGTGGTCCCTATGCAGAGCTTGTGAGCTACCTCATGTACCTGATGACTTGTACTCGCCCAGACCTCGCCTTCCCTCTTAGCGTCCTTGCTCGCATTGTTGCGCTAGGGAGACACAGTCTAGTTCACTGGACAGCTGCTAATGGGTGGCGAAGTACCTAGCGACGGTGTCATGTGTGGGGCTGGTTCTTGGAGGGAGACAGTCTAGCGTACTTACTGGACACTGTGACTCTTCTTACGCTGACGACGCCGAGCCTCGCATGTCTACTCAGGAGTACTGCTTCAGCTTGGGCTTTGGAGTTGTTTCGTATAGGTCCACGCGTTCCTCCTCGGTCTCGACCTCTACCGCTGAGGCTGAGATCTATGCTGTTGCTACGAAGCCCCGCATATCCAATGCATTTCCGCGATCCAAAGCCCCGCATAACTTGTGCGCTGGCTGATGCTTGCCCTGGAGGTTGAATCAGCCCCGCACTAGTGCGACCGTTTGCCAGGCGAAGCAATTGCTTCGAACCAGCACACGGTCAAATTTGTGCGGGTCAAAAGTGGTGTTCTGCAGGCAGAAGCGTCAAATTTGGCGCAAGTAGGTTTGGCATCCACGCGCTTATCACCAAACCTAGATAAGCAATTGATCAGTTATCAATGCGAAACTAGATGCTGGAAATTGTCCACCTACACAACAAGGCCCGAGGGTGACAATTTTGATTGGATGCGACACGAATTTTCTAGGAAAGACTGTCCCGGAAATTTTGTGTGGAGGCCAGTCCGCCTACAGAACAAGGCCTTTCTTGCTTACCAATTCCCACATCGACTCTCCCACAGATTTTCTTGCACAAGAATTTCCAGAGCGGCTTTCCCACATAGAGCTTCTTGCCTAGGGATTCACACGCCAGCTGATTATTTCATTCTATTTGTGAGCTCCTTTGAGTACTCTCACTACGACCTTACTAGTCTTCTTCGAGCACTTACGTTAGCCCTTGCAACTAATCAACTAAGACAGAATGCGTGCTGCATCACCAATCGGACGGCTGTCAGACGATCTTCTCTCCGTTATCTTTCGTATCGTCGGTCTATCTGACGGTCAGTTCCAACACGCGTTTGTGTGCAAGAAATGGCATCGCATCGCCCGTCGCGTGCACGAGCACATTCACATTCACGAAAAGCGCCGCATACGTCCTCGCGAGCTGCTCGCGCACCTCTCGTCATTCCCAAGGCTCCGAAAGCTCGTCCTCGCCAAGAGCAGCATCACGTCCTTTCCTAACTATCTCCTCTCCGGGATTGCGGACTCGTGTCCAGATCTGACGGACCTCCACGTTGATCTGATGAAACGACGGTACAGACTGACTCTACTCGCATGCCCAGCTCTCAGGCACCTCCCTCCATTCTTCTCTGGCCTCTCATCCCTCGAAACCTTGGAAATCCGTCATGCAACCAGCTTAGATACGCTTCCAGGCGGGTTCTCCCACTTGACGAACCTCAAGGAGCTCTCTCTCTCCTCCATGCCGCACCTGTCCGCCCTGCCTGCCTCCCTCCCTGCCATCGGCCATTCTCTCACCAGCCTCGTTGTCAGCTGCATGCAAATCACGGCGCTGCCAGAGGAGATCGGACGGCTGGGAGGGCTTGAAACTCTTTTGCTTCATGGACTGCCCAATTTGAAGTCGCTCCCTCGCTCGCTGTGTCAGCTGGAGCGATTAAAATCTCTACAAGTGAGTAACTGCAGCTCGCTGAAGTCGCTGTTTTGGGACGAACACCGGGCAGTCGTACCGTATGGTTATGGCTTTGGGGCGGGAAGCATTCATCTTGAGGTAGCTGGTCACACCGGTTGCAGCAGTGCCGCTGGCAGCTGTGGGGAATCTGAGGAGAAGGACAAGAGTGTGTTGCTGCCATCCCTTGAGAGCCTTAAGATCCGGGAACCTACACTGAAGCTGCTCGGCCCATTGCTGGGCTCCTTCCCGTCGGTAAGAAATCTGGAAATCTCTTGTTAAGCTTCCCAAACGACGTGTCAGCTTAAGAAGCTTCGCTCTTTTAAGATTTACAGCAGCCCGGGCCTAACCAGGCTTCCCGAGTCCTTTCCTGATCTCTGCAAGCTGGAGTCGTGTGTTTTGTCCGATCTCGGAATTTCGTGCCTTCCAGATGACTTTTGGAAGCTCTCGTCCTTAAAGGACCTCTCTCTCGTGTCACTGCCCAAATTCCGCAGCCTGCCCAAAACCTTTTCACAGCTGCCCAGACTGGAGGGCTTGACCCTGTTTGGGTGCAAACGGCTGGCTTGGTTACCCACGAGGCTGCAGCAGATGGGGAACCTGTAGGCATGCGTTGTCATTGAATGCCGGCTGCTGTCAAGACGGCGGAAGATGGTGATTCACGGTACAGTGGACCTGGACGAGGGAGAGCGTACAGTGGGTGGCTTAAAGGAAGAAGATGACGAGGGGAGCGGATTTGGGGAGAGTGAGAGCGAGGATGGAGAAGGGAGTGAATGGGATAGTGTAGATTGGAGTGGAGGGGAGGATTGAGAGGGGAGTGAAGTGGAGGATGGAGAGGGGAGTGTAATGGAGGGGAGTGAAAGGGAGCAGGGAAGAACATGAAGGATCAGGGAGTAAATGAAAGCGGAGTGGTGAAGGGGGGAGGTGGTGGAGTGAGATGGAGATGAGGGCAGTGATAGCATATGCGGTGGTGGCGTCCCTGCTTGAACCACGATCAGGGGCGGCAGCACTCGCATCAGCAGCCTCAACAGCAGCCCCAACAGCAAAACGAGGCGCAGAAGCGAAGGAAGAAGAAGCAGCAGCGCAGCAATCGAGGCAGCTGCTTGCAACCGCAGCAGCACGGCAGCAGGGGCGTGGCGATGTGATGGGGGGGATGGGAGGAGGTGCGGACTAGTGGGGTAGAGAGTCAGAGAGAGGGTGAAGGACAACATTCCGCACCATTTCCGAGGAGGTGAGGCGTGGCGATGTCTGGGGGGGATGGGAGGAGGTGAGGTGTGGCGATGTGAGGGGGAGAATGGGAGGAGGTGGGGTGTGGCAATGTGAGGGTGGAAATGGGAGGAGAGGAGGTGAGGCGTGGCGATGTGAAGGGTTGAATGAGATGAGAGGTGAGGTGTGGTAGATGTGAGGATGAGGTGTGGGAGGTGGGGGGAGTCAAGGAGACAGTGAAGGGCAACGCCTTGCACTACTTCCGAGGAGGTGGGTGAGGCGCGATGATGTAAGGAGGGGAATGGGAGGTATGAGGAAGGGTGTGGGGTAAGTGAGGTAAAGAATCGTGGGATAGTGGCGGGCTGCAGGGCACTGCTCTCCTTTGAGGCGCCTCAAGAGCACGGCACCGCTCTCCACCACATGTGTGGCTTAGCCCACGCCTCACTCATGTTGCCATCTCTGGATGCCTCGCCCGCCCCTTTAGAGGTCTGGGTTTAGCAGCCGCATCCCTCCATCCCCATCCCTCCCTTCAGCTGCCGAACCCAGACCTCTATAAGTTATTTTTCCTCCTGAAATTTCTCTACACGACTCTTGCACCATGTAATGGTTTTTTTTGCTTTCACTGCCTCCCGTGCAGCTCCCCCAATCCCCGCCGATCCTCATCCTCGTCCCACCATCGCACCAGGGCGTGTGTCTGGCTGCAGGACCCTGATCGCTACCACACACGCAGGCATCTTCCTCACGCCTCACTTGCACCATTCAGCTTAGTTGGTTCTTTTTCCCTTCACTGCCTCCGCTACCCCTCCGCCCATCCCCACACCTATCCCCATTCCCGTCCCACCCTCCCACTAGGCGTGTGGTTGCAGGACCCTAACGTGTATCATATGAGCATCTTCCACGCCCCACTCACTCCTAGACTCTTATTCCCCTTGGGTGCCTGTCCCACCCCTCCGCCCATCCGCATTCACATCCTCATCACCCACCATGCATGTGGTTGCAGGACCCTCACGAGTACCACATGAGCATCTTCCACGCCCCATACACACCATTTGCATACCCTCCTGACTGCCTTCCCCCATTCCCTCCCATCACCACCTCTCTACACCTGTCCCCTCCCCCAACCACCAGACATGTGGTCGCAGGACCCTGACGTGTACCACATGTATTCCACTCTTCACACCACCTATCGCCCGTACCTGCCTATCAAGTACCGTACATGTGTTTTACCATTGAGTCACGTTCGGAAAACGCAAATGTGATTGTACCCTGAACACGGGCTTTTAGGTTTGCGTAACCGAAATTTGTGTCATACCCGGTTGAATTCTTTAAAGCTTACGGTACTGCAATTTGTAGCCCGACATGAGTGAATAAAGACTGTAAACCCTTTGTTTTTCAATATCCAGCGCGAGTGTATCACCAATGGGGCGGTAATTTGCCTGTGAGTTACTCGTTAACGAAGTGGAAACGGTGTAAAGCCGTGTACAATGAGGGGGAAGTGGGGTAGTGGTTCGGAAGTCTAGAGCAGGTAGGGCGGGTCCAGCGCGTACGTTTTTCGTACATTGCTGTTCATCAAGTGCGGTAATGTGTATTCTGTCACGGTTTAAAACGGTGCAATTTCACGATAACAAAACCTGCCTATGTACCCTCCTAACGAACGTTTTTATCATCTATCCTCGTTATAAATTAGACGATAAAACGTTTATCATCACCGTGCTTTAAAAATAACCCCAAGGACGATCGATCGTGCTATGTAACAAAACCTGCCTATGTACCCTCCTAACGAACACGGCAGTCGTTGGAGTCGGGAAAACCTGGACAACACGTTAGTCAGTAGCCGGAGGCTATTGCCGACTTAGAGCTTCCTATCGGAGAATTGCGCGTTATAAACTGCTTCAGCTGGCTCTGCTGCGTTACAATTCGCTCAGTTACAGTCCGCTCCGCTACGGTTGGCTCTGCGATAGTCCGCTCCGCCACTGTCCGAAGCGCTTCACCCGGATTCGCCGTCCAACATGTCGATCTGGAACTATGTCGTCACGGCGCATAAGCCGACAGCTGTCACGCACTCATTGGTCGGCAGCTTCACAGGGACCCACGACATGAACCTAATTGTTGGGTGAGCATCGTCCGCACATGCATGCCTTGCCCGTCCGTCCCCATCAGACGGGCCGTCCGTCCGCATGAGCCTTGTGTGTGGAGCAAAGCATCCGTGCGGTGCGATTCAAACTGAGCCAACGGAGCACGTCTGGGATGCGAATCTGATCGTTTCAGGCCTTTCTCGGGATCATGGGGCCCATGCGCCTGATTCCAGCCTGAGGCTTCTGCCTTTCAGCATCCACTGCGACTCTCTCTCACTCTCTTTGCTCTGTTTCATGCGCGTGGGCATGGCTTGCACTGGGTGCATTTGCTGCTGCTCTCTGCTAGACTGTGCTGCATGCTAATTCGTGTGCGGGTGGATTCCACTGGCTGAATCCCATTGTGCAGCAAGTCCACGAGGATGGAGATTTACCTTCTCACCCCACAGGGCCTTCAGGTGCTCTTCTCTCCTCGCATCTGTTTGACAAAACTCCTGTTTCTTTTCACTTTGAATTTCATTGTTGTCGTCTCTTGCAAGTTAAAGTCTTGTTACTGTCTCACTCAGCTGATCACCTTGCACACACACCCACGGGCCACGGGCCACACATGCTACTGCATCTGATTGTTTGACTGCTTTACCCGGTTCGGTTCTCATGCCGACTCCCCACCATCCCTGTGCGTGCGTGTGTCTGTGCGTGCGTGTGCATGCGTGTGCGTGTGTGCGTCTCTCTGCAACTGCATGTGTGCGTGCATGGCATGGCATGCTCGCAGCCGCTAGTGGACGTGCCGCTGTACGGCCGCATCGCCACCATGGAGCTCTTCCGACCGCCCGTACGTGCCCCGCCGCTCTGCTCCTGCACCGCACCGCACCCATGTCATTGTGCTGGCAGCTTCAGTGTGGTGTGCGGGTTGTGTGTGTGCGTGTGTTTGCGTTCGCGTGTCAGTTAGGAGGGAGGAAGGAAGGAAAGCAGAGATGGGGAATTAAAGGAGAGACGGAGGAGGAAAATCGAGGGAGAGAGGGGGACAACGAAAAGAGGAGGAAAAGCGAGCAAGAGGAGAGGACTCAGGAAGTTGAGCAGAGGGACGGATGGGAAAAGAAAGGGCAGGAGTAAAAGAGGGAGGGAGTGAACAAAAGATGGGGGATGAAGGGAATAAGTGGAGGTGTTGGGGAGGGAAATGTGGGGTAAGTGTGAAGTATTCTTACATAGCAAAGCGAAATATCATGAGGTTTGACATGGGATCACATGGCGTTGCACCTGGCATCGCTCATGGTATGGTATGGCATGGCACATGGTATGGCATGGCATGGCAGGGCGAGTTGAAGGACCTGCTGTTCATATGCACGGAGCGGTACAAGTTCTGTGTGCTCGAGTATGACGCCCTCTCCAGGGAGCTCATCACCAGGTATGCCATGCACCTTGCTACGTATGTGCGTCATTTACCTACCTGCAAGCGAGTGCCACCTTCCTCGCAACGCAAGCTGCCAGCCAGCTAGTAATGGTCTTGCCGTTTCCTCTGCTTGCTTTTTCCCGACTTTGATTTCTTCCTGCCTTTCTTGCTCTCGCGCCTGCCTCTGTCACTCTGAGTGAACCCACCAGGGCCAATGGGGACGTCTCTGATCGAATCGGGCGACCAACAGACAATGGCCAGGTAGGTTCCTTCCTTCCTTCCTTCCTTGCTAGCTTTCAGGTATTGCCATCAGTCTGCCACTCTCCCTCTGCAATTTCACGCACCTCTTGCCGCCCTGCACTACTCATTCATTGCTTCACTCACACCGCGAAGCCAATGCGCAACAATTTTCTTCCAACTCCTCTCAAGTGCGTCCCTCTAAGCCCACCCGAAACTACCTTTCTTACCATCTCTCCCCCGACTCCCCCTTGTCCCTCCTCTCCACTCCCTCCTGCTTCCGTCCTCACCGGTCTGTGTGTCGTGCGAATTACATGGTGGTTCCGAGACTTGTCAATCTCAAACCTCTCATGGGTAATCCGCGACGTGACTGACTTGCGCACCACCCCTTGTCGGCCCCTTGCGTCCCAGACTTCCCCAACTGACCCCCCCCATCCCATGTGCGGTGCAGCAGAATGGCATGGAAGACCCTGGCCTGCCTGCCTTCCATATCATCGTGCCCGCTTGCATTTAACCTCAACTGCCCCACAAGATCTTTGTTTCTCCTCCCCCTCACCCTCTCCACCCCACCGCCTGCCCTCCACCTCCCCAACACACTTTCCGTGTCATCACCCTGCAGGTTGGCATAGTGGACCCGGATACCCACATCACATCATGTGGACCCGGATACTCACATCACATCATGTGGACCCGGATACTCACATCACATCATGTGGACCCGGATACTCACATCACATCATGTGGACCCGGATACTCACATCACATCATGTGGACCCGGATACTCACATCACATCATGTGGACCCGGATACTCACATCACATCATGTGGACCCGGATACTCACATCACATCATGTGGACCCGGATACCCACATCACATCATGTGGACCCGGATACTCACATCACATCATGTGGACCCGGATACTCACATCACATCATGTGGACCCGGATACTCACATCACATCATGTGGACCCGGATACTCACATCACATCATGTGGACCCGGATACTCACATCACATCACATCATGTGGACCCAGATACCCACATCACATCACATCATGTGGACCCGGATACTCACATCACATCACATCATGTGGACCCGGATACTCACATCACATCATGTGGCGGCGCGGCATCTCACCTGACTCACTCTTTGCTTGCCTTGTTCTTGTCCTCTTCCCCCACCCCCCACCTCCCACCTCCCCTCGCCACTCTGCGCGGTGCGGTGCGGTGCGGATTGGCATAGTGGACCCGAATCCCGATCATTGGGCTGCATCGGACCTGACTCACCCAATGCCTGCCTTGTTCTCCCCCTCTCTCCCCCTCACTCGCCACGCGGTGTGGTGCAGATGGGCATAGTGGATCGGGACTATCGCATCATGGGGCTGCATGTGACCTGACTCACCCATTGCTTGCCGTGTCTTTCATCCCTGCCTGCGCCCATTCCCCACCCCCTCGACAACGCAACGCTGACTGTGTGGGTGTGGCATGCAGATCGGCATAGTGGACCCCGACTACCGCATCATTGGGCTGCATCTGTACGACGGGCTCTTCAAGGTCATTCCCATCGACGCCAAGGGCCACCTCAAGGAGGCCTTCAACATCCGGTGGGTGCCCGCCTGTGGCCCCGCGCCCCGGGTGGCTTGCTTTCGCTGCTTGTTTGTGCTTCCACCCACCCAGGCGGGCGGTACTTGCCGCTTGGCAATTCGATGGGCTCTTCAACCCCATCAACCTAATGAGAGGTCGGCGGTGCTCATGTAATGACACGCATCAACTCGACAGGCTCCTTGAGGTAATCCCGCGGCCCGCCCTCTCAAAGTTTACGGGGGCAATCTAGCCAAGCTTTCACATTCGGTTGGTTCAGGTTTCGCCGTTGAGTCTGCTGACTCGACTCGCACGTTACTTAAGAGATGGGCCGAGCTCAGAGGCCGAGGCGTTCATGGGCTTTTGGAGGCCATTTGCACGGACGCCAGTCTGAAGGACGCCCTTCTCACTGTGCGTGCCAGTCAGCGACAGCTTCCCTTCTCACCTCCCTTGGCACTAGTTCTTGCATGACTGCGGCCTCACTTGCCTAATTGGTACTGCGTTCCCTTTGAAACAATCGGACCAGCAAGTCATAACCAAAGAGCCGACCAGCCAAGAACTGGAAACTAGCTATCAGAGCGTCCAGCCAGCTTCACTTGTCGCCTCATTATTGCAAGCTGCGAATCTAAAATCGTCCCACTCTTCCCCTTGTCGCTTGTTGTGTTTCGCCACACCTTCCACACACCAGGCTGGAGGAGCTGCAGGCAAGCGATCGACATGAAGTTTCTGCACAGCTGTGAAAGCCTTTGAGTATTCTTGTAAATCTCTCCTTCTCACCCTTTCCCTAGCCGCTGCTTGTGCTCGTTGTGACACCCCTCGCACGCCAGGCTGGAGGAGCTGCAGGTGATCGACATCAAGTTCCTGTTCGCCTGTGAACGCCCCACCATTGCCGTGCTCTACCAGGTACGCCCCATCCCACTGCCCCACCCCACTCCTCCACTCCACTCCACTCCACTTTGCCCCGTGCACACACGGTGCACCCATCTCGTGTTCCAGGTAGATTCTGTGCTGCACTGCAGTCTCTGTGTGTGTGTTCCCTCGCCACTGTTATTCGTGCACTGACTCATTTCATGGTGCTTCACTATATGCAAATGCCTCTCTTGTCTTGCTGCAGTTCTTCTCATGTCACTTGTCTGCTTCCGTCTGCACTCCCTTGCGTGCTGTGTCGTGCCGTGTGCCATGGCAGGACAATAAAGATGCCAGGCACGTGAAGACATACCAAGTGCAGGTGTGTGCGTGCGCCGGACTGCCTTGTTTTTTTTTTTTTTTTTTAACCTTATCTCTTTCGAATCTTACCTTCCGTGTTTTCCCCTTAACCGACGTCCTCTGCCTCTATTACAGCAGCTGGAGGAATGTTTCTCCAGCCACGCACGCACGCCACACAGTACCACACTGTGTGTCACAGGCCACGCCATACAAGCCTGAATTTGGCCAGAAATCACTGGTTTGAGCTCTCAGATGCAAGCACTGCTACCTCAACCCTCAACTTCACACACATCTGATGTCAAACGTCTCTCAACAATCCTCTGATTTGCCCCTCGTGCCTCAAACTACAAGCTTGTGCCGCACTGGTAGCAGCACACACCGAGACGAGAGTGTCTGCCTGTGCTGGTCCGCTCTAAGGCTTCTCAGGCGGCCCTTTCCACGGATGCAGAGGTGCAGGCAGGCAACCTGGAGTGCAATGCATACACATGGGAGGAGCCTCGTTTGCCGTCCAGGTTTCCTGTTTCTATTCACAGGGAGGTGCATGTTTGGGTCGGAGCCGGCATCATTTTGAAAAGAAGTGATCATTTTCTTAAAGCCCTTGGGTCCGCAGATGTGATACACGGGGCTACACAGACACGGCCCATGGCTGCGGTGCGGAGAACTTTCGAGTGATTCGGGGAAAAGCCCTTCTGAAGTTTTATTCCTCCAACTCCCTCTAATCCCCCCTGGACCCAGATGCAAGACAAGGACGTCACGCATGGCCGGTGGCTGCCGCGCAATGAGAGCAGAGTTGTTTTTCAAGCCCTGTCTTCCAACCAACCCTGACGCGCCAGGTGCGCGACAAGGACTTCACGGACGGGCCGTGGCAGCAGAGCAATCTGGACGGCGGGGCGGCGCTCATCATCGCCGTGCCGCCGCCCATGGGGGGCGCGCTCATCGTGGGCGAGCAGAGCATCGTCTACCACAACGGCGCCGTGCTCAAAGCCCTGCCCATGCGCCCGGTGAGTGCTCAAAGCCCTGCCCATGCGCCCGGTGAGTGCTCAAAGCCCTGCCCATGCGCCCGGTGGGTTGTGAGGTGGAGCAGTGAGAGAGTGCAGTAAGTGGTCAAGGCACTGCCCATGTGCGCAGTGAGCGGTGCTGACTCTTGAGTGGGGGCAGTGGTGGGAGGGAGAGGGTGTTGGTGACGTTGTATGATGGGCGCGCAGAGCATGGTGTGCCACAATGGCGCGCAGAGCATGGTGTGCCACAATGGCGCGCAGAGCATGGTGAGTGAGTGCTGGCTTAGGGCTGTAAGTGAGTGCTGGCTTAGGGCTGTAAGTGAGTGCTGGCTTAGGGCTGTAAGTGAGTGCTGAAGGAGGCAGTAGTGAGGTGTGGTGTGGTGTGGTGTGGTGTGGTGTGGTGTGGTGTGGTGTGGTGTGGTGGGCGGGCACAGCATCGTGCACCACAGTGGCGCCGTGCGCCCTGCCCATGGGATGGGCCCGCTGGGTGCTGCAGGCTCATTGGGATAGGCTCTATGAATGCGCTGTGCGGGGCAGTCATGATCGTGGTGGGTGCAGTAAGGACGCTCAACTCAAGGTGCTTCCCACGTGGCTCTGCTTGTAGTTTGTATGAGGCAGCAGCAGGTGTGTGTGGGTGCAAGCAGGTGACGAGGGTTGCTGCAAGCCGGGTTGAGCACCAGGCAGGCCGGGCCCGGCCCGGGTCGGGCCCACCCCGGGCTGCGCAGAAGAGCGGGCCGTAGAAGGGTACTCTTGGCCCGAGCCCGCCCTTCGGGCCGGGCCGGCCCAGCCCTGCTGCTGTGATAGTTTCCTTCCAAAATGTCGAAATTATAGTACCCAAAATCGAACCCTAATGTAAGGCGAAACGCTTTAATGCGTCAACCTTAGAAGAAGGCTTAACGTCGAAACGTTTAAATAGAAATGCAAACAAAGTTAGAAAGTGTAACCCTAGAAACGAAACACTATAGCGCTGACTTTGCCGTTCAGAAAATCAACCGTCAGAACTGTCACGCCAATGTCGCGAAGCCCTAAGAACCCATGGGCGTGGGTGTTTCTACCTACTTTAAGAGACTAACTAAACCTACTAATCTTAGCTTATGCTTGGCAAAAGGCTATGCGCTAAGGGCTGGGTGGGGTTACGATTTAGCATTGACAGAAAACAAGCTGCACACATGACGTGCAGCTTTGTCCCGTGGGTAAAAACCGGGCCGAAATGGCCCGACGCGGCCCGGCCCGGGGCATTTCTGGGCGGGCCCGACCTGGGCGGGCCCTGGCCCGCCTTCGTGCTCATCCCTAGCTGCAAGGGGTGGACCGTGGAGATGTGCTGGACACGTGACAGTCATGTCTGAGCACTCACATAGCCCAGGGCCGAGGCTGTGCAAACCTGATCTCTGGATGCTGTTTTCCTCTCTTTACCATCTACCTCTCTCTCGAAACCTCTTTCCCCCTCACTTTCTTCCTACATTCCTCGCTCGCTTCGTCCTCCCCTTCCACCTCCGCTCGTCCATGTTCCTACATCGTTAGTTTCAGCATTCACGTAGGTCTGCATGTATCCACATGGGCCCAGTGGCTGGTGGAGAAGTGACGAGGAAATGAGCTCATCTATTCCTCGCTATCACCATGCACCTACTATTTCACCTGCCCACCTGTCCCCTTGGCGTTGCGCCGCGCAGTGTCTGGTGGAGGCGTATGGGCGTGTGGATCCGGACGGCTCGCGCTACCTGCTGGGGGACCACATGGGCACTCTCATGCTGCTGGCGCTCAGCCGCGACAAGGACCGGTGAGAGAGGGCGACCTGCAGTGACAAGGACCGGTGAGAGAGGGCGACCTGCAGTGACAAGGACCGGTGAGAGAGGGCGACCTGCAGTGACAAGGACCGGTGAGAGAGGGCGACCTGCAGTGACAAAGACAGTGCAAACTGGCTGCTGAGTCCTGGCGTCGTGCTGAAGCAACACGTGACCACACTTGTGATGTGTTGAGCTTGTAGTCGACAGTGCACTGAATGGGCCCTGGTTCTGCCATGGCCCACTCCCTTCTTCTCCCTGTCCCTCCTTCCTTCATCTCCCACAATTTTCTTCACAGTCTGGTAGCATGGTAACTAAATGCCGTCGTCACAAGCTCTGTTCCATCTTCCTTCCTTTCCTCTATGCCCGTGTTCGTTCTTTCCATCGGCAACCACTTTCCACACAACTGCACACCACACCACACCACACGACCCCACACGGCGCACACAGGGTGGTGACGATGAAGCTGGAGACACTGGGGAGCGTGTCATCCCCCGCCACCATCTCATACCTCGACAACGGAGTCGTCTTCCTTGGCTCCGCTCACGGCGACTCGCAGGTGCTCGGGATGACTCTCAGGTGCTCGGGATGACTCTCAGGTGCTCGGGATGACTCTCAGGTGCTCGGGATGACTCTCAGGTGCTCGGGATGACTCTCAGGTGCTCGGGATGACTCTCAGGTGCTCGGGATGACTCTCAGGTGCTCGGGATGACTCTCAGGTCGTTCTCATGCTTGCTCCTAGCTGTGCAGAGTCTCAGGTGTTTGTGGAGACTATCTGGTAATCAGGGCGATCCTCAGGTGCTCAGGGCAACCCTCAAATCCTTGCTGGTGATTCTCTCAGGTGGTGCCCATGTAAATCACCAAAGATCACACAGTTTTCAGGTCCAAATGCATGGCAGAAACCTGTATGCTTGTCAGATCACCCCATCATCTTCAACCAGCCCATTGAGCAGTCGGAGAGCACATTGTCAATCCAGGGACTAATTATGTTGTGGATGCCTTTTAATTCTGGCCTGAGCGATTGGGATGCATTCTAGACATTGAAGTGCTGGTCCCTCCTCTCCTCTCTTCCCATCTTCTCCCCCCCTTCCCTCTCCCCCCATCCTTTTCCATGCATCTCTTTTACCCAGCTGGTACAATTATCCGAGTATCCAGCATCGCTAGGCAGTAATTTAGAGGAGTGAATATGTGGTGTGTGAATCTGGCGGGGGCGCATAGTGGACGTCGACCTTTCTCCTCTCCCCTCCTCTCTCCGTCCCCCCCTCCCTCCCCCTCTTCTCCCCCTCTGTTCCCTACCCATCTTCCTTCCTCTCCACTGGCTCGTGCCTCCCATTGTGTCTCTCCCATTCTCAGCTGATCCGCCTGTCAGAGCACCCAGCAGCGACGGGCAGCTACGTGGAGGAGATGGAGCGGTTTGTGAATCTGGGGCCCATCGTGGACATGGCCGTGGTGGACCTCGACCGCCAGGGGCAGGGCCAGCTCGTCACGTGCTCGGGGGCCTTTGGCGACGGGTCGCTGCGCGTCGTGCGCAACGGCATCGGGATCAACGAACAGGTGGGCGTGTGGTGTTTGCAAGTGCACCCATGTTCTCTTCCTTTTGCTCCCCCTCTGCACCCCTCGTCCCACTCCACTCCAGTTTTCCTACACCTTATGCGTGCTTGTTTCGCTCACACTCATCAACGAGCTGTCAGTGTGCGCGCGCTTTTTGTGATATGCTTTGCCCCGCACACAGCAGGCGATGGTGGAGCTGCAGGGCACAAAGGGCATGTGGTGGCTGGAGATGAACACATGTTACCTGTGCGACATACTATCAAAGCATCCAGCACAAGCGTTAGCTTGCTTGCTTACTCCCTTCCCTGCATTCCCACCCTGTGACATTCACCAGGCGATGGTAGAGCTTGAGGGCATAAGGGCATGTGGTCGCACACGCACCTGCCCTCTTTGCCTCTCTATCCACCTTTTCACTCTAACCTCCCACCCACGAGTGCCGCACACACCAGGCGACGGTGGAGCTGGAGGGCATCAAGGGCATGTGGTCGCTGCGGCGCGGCACGTGGGAGGCACACGACACGTTCCTGGTGGTCACGTTTGTGAGCGAGACGCGGTCGCTCGCCATAAACGAGGAGGACGAGCTGGACGAGACGGACGTGCTGGGCTTCGACCAGCACGCGCAGACGCTCTTCTGTGGGAACGTGCTGCACGACCAGATCGTGCAGGTGCGTGCCTCTGCTTCTCTCTCACACAGCAGGCAAACGTAGGCTTTAACAATGACGCCCAGATCCTCTTTCCCAGTCCTCTCCTTTCATCTCTGTCATCTCCATTGCGCCACCCTTCAGGTGGCAGCATCGCAGCTGTGGCTCGTGAACGCCCACTCGCTGCAACGGCTGGTGGGCACGAGGGCTACTAAGCCCCTTTCATCCACACCCAGCCTCTCAACCCCTTCTCACGCCTCACACACCCCCCTCCACCCCCCAGGTGACGGCATCGGAGCTGCGGCTGGTGAACGCGCACACACTGCAGCAGGTGACCGAGTGGCGGGCGCCTGCAGGCGCATCCATCAACGTCGCCACCGCCAACCTCTCCCAGGTGTGTGTACAGGTTAACGCAAGTCAACGGGAGTGAGCTGGTTGAAAGGGGGAGTCGATGGAATTGAATGGGAATGAGAGTGGAACGTACATGCACGAATGCCAACTGCGTCGCCATCGCTAACCGCTCCCCAGCGACGTGAAATCTGACCTAGCCGTGAACTCAAGTGCAGCAGCTGAACAACGCACTTGGGTGAGCGTTCAGTCTTCATCGCTGCCACCAGCATTCCCGTGAGTGAGCCAACGACATAGTGAAAACATCGTGCCAGAGCCAATGAGACTCTGAGGAATAGCTGGCTTGGGCAGATCCAATATCGCTGTGTAACCCTGGAGACCCCCCTTTCCCAGATGTTGCTGGCAACAGGGGATACGTGCTAGGGTAGGGTAGGTGCAGATGACTTGGACGGGGGGGTGCATGCTGCTGTGCATGGACGCATGGAGCCTTTTTCTAAGCGCCTCAGAATTCGACTCTCTCTTGTCCAGGTGCTGCTGGCAACGGGGGGCGGCACGCTGGTGTATGTGGAGGTGGGCGAGGGCACGCTGACAGAGAGGACGCACGTGACTCTGGAGCATGAGATCGCGTGCCTTGATGTCACCCCCATCACCGACGAGAATGCCATGGCGGATGGTGCGTGAGCGATGGCTATGTGATGTGTGCTTGTCTGACATGTCTCAGAAGCCATGTGACACTTGCGCATGCGATTGTGTGCCTTGATGCCACTCCGATAACCCATGATAGCGCCATGTTGCTCTTGGACCCACGAGTCTCGCTTGACCCCCACTACGTGCATCCCACATGCCGCTACCCACCAGGCGCGGTGCCCGTGGCTGCGTTGGCGGTGGTGGGCATGTGGACGGACATGAGTGTGCGCGTGCTGCGCCTGCCGGGGCTGGAGGAGGTGCACAAGGAGGTGCTGGGGGGGGACATCATCCCGCGCTCCGTGCTCATGTGCTGCCTCGAGCAGGTGGGTGGGAATGTGCTGCCTCGAGCAGGTGGGTGGGAATGTGCTGCCTCGAGCAGGTGGGTGGGAACGTGCTGCCTCGAGCAGGTGGGTGGGAATGTGCTGCCTCGAGCAGGTGGGTGGGAATGTGCTGCCTCCAGCAGGTGGGTGGGAATGTGCTGCCTCGAGCAGGTGGGTGGGAATGTGCTGCCTCGAGCAGGTGGGTGTGAATGTGCTGCCTCGAGCAGGTGGGTGGTCAGGTGCGGCCACTTGTTATCCTTGTTCCCGTCCCTCTGCTCCTCTTCTGTGCGCCACCGCTCATCTCACCCTTCTCACACTTGTCTTCACCGCCAGCCCTTCCACTCCCCACTTACCCTTCCTACTTCCCGCCGTTCCCCAACGCTGCAGTTGCCGTCCCACCCCATCCACCCCATCCACCCCATCCACCCCATGCACCCCATCCACCCGTCGCCCCCCTCCCCAGGTGCCGTACCTGCTGTGTGCGCTGGGCGACGGGCACCTCTTCAACTTCCACCTCGACCGCGAGACCGGGCAGCTGTCTGACCGGAAAAAGGTCTCCCTGGGCACGCAGCCGATGACGCTGCGCACGTTCCGGTCGCGCGACGCCATGCACGTGTTTGCGGCGTCGGACCGGCCGACAGTGGTGCACAGCAGCAACCGCAAGCTGCTCTACTCCAACGTGAACCTCAAAGAGGTCACCCACATGTGCTCCTTCAACTGCGCCTCCTTCCCCGACAGGTGCGCTACGGGGACGGTGGGTGGGTTTAGAGGGAAGGGACTTTTGACTTCTGAGTTGACTCAAAGTCAATGAGGGGAGAGAGGACGTGCACTCTTATTCTTCTGCGGCTTTGATAGCTCCTATGGGGATGTGAAATGAAGGTCACACTGATTCATGAGCTTATAGTTACATGGTTTTGGTTAGGTTGCCCTGGTCTGGTTGTTCTGCTTGGTGTCTTATCCCGATACTTTGCCGCTCTCTCCCTCACTCTATGCGCTGCTTTCTCTCTCGCGTCGCTATCATGGTTCGTTCTGGTTTGTTATCTCCAACACAAGTCTCTCGCACCCTTGCTTTTTCTGTCGGGCAGTCAAGCACTAGCCTGGGAGGGAGGCCTGACCATGAGCACCCCTAGAGGCTAGAGGCACGCACATGACCTCTCACATCATCCGCGCACATGACCTCTCACATCATCCGCGCACATGACCTCTCACATCATCCGCGCACATGACCTCTCACATCATCCGCGCACATGACCTCTCACATCATCCGCGCACATGACCTCTCACATCATCCGCGCACATGACCTCTCACATCATCCGCGCACATGACCTCTCACATCATCCGCGCACATGACCTCTCACATCATCCGCGCACATGACCTCTCACATCATCCGCGCACATGACCTCTCACATCATCCGCGCACATGACCTCTCACATCATCCGCGCACATGACCTCTCACATCATCCGCACACATGACCTCTCACATCATCCGCGCACATAACCTCTCACATCATCCGCACACATGACCTCTCACATCATCCGCGCACATGACCTCCCACATCATCCGCGCACATGACCTCTCACATCATCCGCACACATGACCTCTCACATCATCCGCGCACATGACCTCTCACATCATCCGCGCACATGACCTCCCACATCATCCGCACACATGACCTCTCACATCATCCGCACACATGACCTCTCACATCATACGCTCTGCCACCTCCCCTCTCCCCACCTCACATTGGATTCAACTACACAACCTACCACTGGCAAAGGGAGGAGGCCTTACCATGGGCAGCAACGACTCCTTTCAGAAGCCGCACAGCTGTGCAGTGCCTCTCGGGGAGCAGCTTGTGAGACCTCCTTGAAAGCGACTTGAGTGGCATGCGTGCGCATTACCTGCAGGATACAGCACATCCATACGCGCTGCCACCTCTCTCCACGTGTCCCCTGCCACCCACCTGCCCTCGCAGCCTGGCACTAGCGAAGGAAGGAGACCTGACGATCGGCAGCATCGACGACATTCAGAAGCTGCACATCCGCACGGTGCCTCTCAGGGAGCAGCCGCGCCGCATTTGCCACCACGAGCAGTCGCACTCCATCGCCGTCACCACCATTAAAGTCAGCCTGGTGCGTCGCACTCCGCTGCTCACCCCGTGTTTCCGTTTTTACGTTACGAGTGAATGCTGTGACACATGGTTCACACTGGTGTGGTCGCTCACCGCCCCATCCCTCTCCCCATCCCCCCTCGTCAGGTCGCTCAGCAGCCACACGGGCACGACGCGCGGAGTCACCGTGATGCTCCTGCTGAGCGCCCACAAGTTCAACCACCTGTCCCACCTGCCTCTGTCCCACCTGCCTCTGCAGCCCCCTTGTCACCATGTGCCTTCCCCAGTGACACCACAATCACCCATCTCTCTCTCTCTCACCTCTAACTCGCTCGCTCGCTGCACGCCCGCTCTCCAGGTGAACGGAGACGAGGCGGAGAGTCACCAGATGCGCCTGCTGAGCGTGCACACGCTCGACCACCTCTCCCACCTGTCGTTAGCTGTCTTCCCCCACTCACACCACAGTCGCCCAGATCTCTCTCTCTCATTCGCCTCTGCACCGTGCGCACTCTCCCCGTGCCCGTGCGCCCAGGTGAACGGCGAGGAGGCGGAGAGCCACTACGTGCGCCTCTTGAGCGACCAGACGTTCGAGCAGCTGTCGCACCTACCGTTGGAGCCGTTTGAGAACGGGTGCTCCATCATCTCCTGCTGCTTCGCTGACGACCCCACCGCCTACATCGTGGTCGGCACCGCCTTTGCCTTCCCGGACGAGCAGGAACCCACCAAGGTGCAACCAGTAGGAGTGATTCTCCGGTTTCTGCCTTGTTTTCCGTCTCGAGTGGAGATATCATCAGCAATGCTCTCACCACTCTCTGATGCACCGCCTTGCATGTCCTGACGAGCAAGAACCCACCAAAGGGATGTCGGTGCGAGTGAAGGACCAACCCTCGCCCCATCCCATGCTCATGCCTCACCGCTTCGGTTGTGCGAAATAGTCTCTAATGAATGAGGCGAAAAATGAATGAGGAGGCAACGCAGCACGATCGAGGTGTCTCCAGCTCCTATCTCTTCCTCGCTGTCCGTTTCTCCACTCCCATCTCCCCCGGCCCACCTTTCCCGTCCAATTCCCCCATCCTAGAGCTGCTGCTGGATTGCTGTTGGGTCCCCACAGAGCGTGCATGCGTCTCTCAGGACAGTCCACAGTGCTGCCGCTGCCTCTCTCTAACTGTGTGCTGCAATGCAATGCCGTGCAGGGTCGCATCCTGGTGCTGGCAGTGGAGGGCGGCAAGCTACAGGTGGTGGCGGAGAAGGAGACCAAGGGCGCGGTGTACACGCTGAACGCGTTCAACGGCAAGGTGCTGGCGGGCATCAACAACAAGGTGCAGCTCTTCCGGTGGGCGGCGCGGGACGACGGCGGCAGGGAGCTGCTGGTGGAGTGTGGGCACTTCGGGCACATCCTGGCGCTCTACACCGCGTGCCGGGGGGACTTTATCGTTGTTGGCGACCTCATGAAGAGCATGTCGCTGCTCGTCTACAAGGTGGGTGGGTGGGTGGGTGGGTGCGTAGCGTAGGTGCGTGCTCGACTTGAAGTGTGCATGGAGTGTGAGTAGCTGATCAATCCCTGTTCTGCCCTCTGCTCTCGCACCATGCCCCGCTCCAGCAACACTCACTCCTTGCTTAATATCCACTGCCCGTTTCCAACTGGATGACAGCTGTCAGGATTATGTGTGCCTTCTCTGTCCATCTTACTCCCCACTGCTCACTCTTGCCTGGTGTGGTGAATAATATGTATTCTCTCTCCCCTCCTTCCCCAACTGCTTTTCTGCGGCACCCACGTGGCAGCAAGAGGAGGGGGCGTTGGAGCTGAGGGCGCGGGATTTCAACGCCAACTGGATGACGGCGGTGGAGGTGGTGGACGACGACGTGTACATCGGCGCGGAGAACAGCTTCAACCTCTTCACCCTGCGCAAGAACGGCGATGCCCCCACTGACGAGGAGCGCGGGCGCCTGGAGGTGCGCGGCTGGGCTTCAAACCATCCTCTGGCTCTCCCTCGCGTTTTTCTACCCGTGGTCCCTGGGGGTGCTTTCAGTCTGGTTCAAACAACTCAGGAAATGAGTGACTGTGTCGCCATCTCTGTGGTGGAGCAAGTCAATGCCTATCCACTCACAACACAACCAACACCCTCCAACGCCCGCCCGCCCCTGGAGGGGGTGGGCGAGTGCCGCCTGGGAGAGCACGTGAATTGCTTCCGCCACGGGTCGCTGGTGATGCGGTGACTAGGGCCTGAGGGGAGTACCTCTGGTGGTACATTGAACGTGGTTGCAACAAAAAAACTCAGCAACTCATGTCTGAGCCTCCCCAGACACAAACCTACTCCACAACTAACCCCCCTGCCACCCCCCTGCAGGTGGTGGGCGAGTATCACCTGGGCGAGTTTGTGAACCGCTTCCGCCACGGGTCGCTGGTGATGCGGTTACCAGACTCGGAGACGGCCAACATCCCCACGCTGCTCTTCGGCACTGTCAGCGGCGCCATCGGGGTCGTTGCCTCGCTGCCGCAGGACCTCTTCTCCTTCCTGCACCGCCTGCAGGTGCGTGTGTTGCTGGGTGGGTGGGTGCGTGTGCGTGTGCGTGTGCGGGTGTCCCTCACTCGTTTTTTAGGCACCTCAAAGACAATTGGAGTGGTCGCCTCGCTGGCGCAGGACCTCTTCTCTTTCCTGCACCGTCTTCAGGTGTGTTCCTTCCTCCCGCTCACCTGTTTTCTCGGCCTGACTCGTGTCTTCTTATCCCTCTGAGCGGCCTCACAGAAACTAGTTGAAGGTGTCTCGAAGCATCATCATGCTCTGGCTTTAGCTCACCTGCATCGTTGGAGCACCTGTTCTCGTCCCCCCCCACTTCCCCCGCGCTGCGCCCGCAGGTGTGCCTGACAAAGGTGATAAAGGGAGTGGGCGGGCTGTCACACGCGGAGTGGCGCAGCTTCCACAACGAGCGCAAGACGGTGGAGAGCAAGGCCTTCATCGATGGCGACCTGGTGGAGGCGTTCCTGGACCTCAAGAGGGAGCGCATGGCCGAGGTGGCGGAACAGATGAAGGTGCCGCTGGAGGAGCTCTGCAAGAAGGTGGAGGAGCTCACCCGCCTGCACTGACCTGCTCTCACCTGCTCTGAAAACTAGAACGCGGATTCGTGGTGGCGGTGATGGTAGTTGTGCTGGTGGCCCTTGAGGAGCCTCCAGAGGGTGAAGAGCTGTGCAGCAAGGTGGAGGAGCTGTGCAGCAAGGTGGAGGAGCTCACACGCTGGCAGTGAAGCTGACTGCGCTCACGAGTTGCGTGCTCTAAAGATTAGCCTGCACTGAGCTGCACTGAGGGATGGAGGCGCAGCTGTCGCAACGATGCAGTGATGCAGTGACAGTTGAGGAGCGTAGCAGAGGGCGGCGCAGATGAAGGTGCCTCAGGAGCAACTCTGAGAGGTGGAGTGGAACATGATGGTGGAGGGGCGGATGATGGTGGAGGGGTGGATGATGGTGGAGGGGCGGATGATGGTGGAGGGGCGGATGATGGTGGAGGGGCGGATGATGGTGGAGGGGCGGATGATGGTGGAGGGGCGGATGATGGTGGAGGGGCGGATGATGGTGGAGGGGCGGATGATGGTGCATGTGGAGGCATTTGCTAGAAGGTTAGGGCGGAATAGGGAAGTTAGTGGGTTGCAGTGCAGCAGTGGAAAATAATAGCCCTGGGGCAGAGGGTGTAGAGGGGAACTCAGTGGCATAACCACAGTGTACTCAGTATATACTGATGGGTTCGCTAGGGTAGCTTTGCATGGACCAATCAGTGGTGACTAGCATGAAAGCATTGCATGTGTTGAACACATGATCAGTGCAGTCAGGCCCACTGGGATTGCCGGAGCAAGGGCGCTCACTTGCATTTCGCACTGTATTGTGGTAATCCCATGGAATGAGATGATAAGTTGATTTGCAGCTGTAGGAACACATGGGTGGGGGTGTGTGACAGGTGGCATGGCAGGATGCATACAACTGCCTAACACAAGTGACGGCATTGGTGGCAGCTAGTGAGTAATGTTGGTACTTAGTACATTTTGTGTTGTGTGAAGTTAAGTGTGAATAACGCTATACCATATCAGTACAAAGAAGCCTGATAGCATGTGTCCTGCAAACAAGGAGTACACAGTATATCATAGCCATCACAAGATATTGACTGTGATGTGACTGCATACAAATATACTCTTCACCTCTCTTTGCTTGACCCCTGTAAGGAAAATCCCTTTTCCTTACTTCGCATCCCTGCTCAACGCGTACATCACTGTAGCACCTCAGTCAGCACCGTTACCACTCGCGACCCTCGCATCGACAATCACCCCGCCAACTTCGCACATCGCACCCCGACCTCACGGCTCGGCTGGTAACCCGCGCTCCGGGCCTCCGCTTCGACACTTTCCCAACCTCAGTCCCAGGCTCGTCGCACGACAACCACAGTCTATTACCGTTACCACTGTAGTTTCGCTATATATTCTTCGCTCACGCCTTCGCTCATTGTACTCTTGCTTCGATAGTGCAATTCTCGTTCGTTCACTCAATTGCACACGTAACACTTGGTATTCAGAGCCTACGATCTCATCTCGGACCGCATCCACACTTTCGCTTCCCCACTATCTCAATTTTGGGGGGGGGTAGACGTCTCTCAGCGATACAGCACCGCCGCTCGTAGTGCTCTCTCGTAAGCACGCACGGCCACGACCGAGGCTCTCGCTGAGCTTGCCCGACACCCCCGCCATGGCCGATTCCACGCTCGCCACATTGACGCAGGAGCAGCTTGATCGTCTCGTGCGTCAACTAGAAGATTCGGCGCTCGAAATCGCGATGCTCACGGCGGAACGTGACTTCGCCCGTCAACAATCCACGGTGAACATTCCGGCGACACCACACGCACCGACAAATGCATCTGCACAATCGGACGAGCCGATCATCATCTCGTCCGGCACACCAACACAACACGACAGCATGGGACAACGCTCAGGCGTAGCCAGGGATGGCGCCGCCCAGCCGATGCCCGGCATGGGGGGAGGCAGGATCACACCAAGCCCGCGGGAGCCCCGGGAAGCCCGTCGGCACGTGGAATTTGCGGCAACAAGTGGCGAACAGGCCATTATGGCACCAATGCCGCTCAAGCCGCAACGCCCGCCCTGCTTCGACCCAAGCCAACGCGGAGGTCCGACGGTTCAAACGTGGGTCTTCACGATGAACGTCTTCTTCGACGCAAACTACGTCGAGTCGGACGCCGCGAAGATCTGGTATGCAGTTTCGCTGCTAAGGGGCCCCGCCATGGACTGGTGGCGAGTCATCGTGACATCGCCACGCGCCTACGAGCCACCGTCGCACGAGGAAGGGCCCACGGGTCCAGCTGTCACCTGGAGTTCGTTCTGTGAGACCGCCCAATACAGCACGTGGGATGCGTGGTGCGCAGGACTACGGGCGCGCTTCGAGCCGATCGCGGCTTCGATATCGGCGCGTCAGAGATTGCGCACTTGGCGCCAGCTCGGGTCGGTTCAAGATTATACAAGCGGTTTTCTCGCACTTTGCGAACAGGTCGGCTACATGCACGAAGCGGAGCGGATGGACCGTTACATCGGAGGGCTGAAGCCGGATATCTCGCACGAAATCATGCTGCGCGGACTCTCTAACTTCAACGAGATTCTCGCGCTCGCCGAGAAAATCGACATTCTACGCCGACCGAGACCGGGGTCCTACTACGGACATCGCCCTCGGGGACCGACCGAGCACGCCACTGTACACGCCGTCGCAACGAATGCAGCTGCCACACCGTTCAAGGGGCGCTGCTTTGCTTGCAATAGGCCGGGCCATCGCAAGAGCGAATGCCCAGAGGAGCTGAGGCGCCGCGGAGCAGAGCAGGGGAGGGAGTCTCAGAGGCAGGGAAACGCCAGCAGTCAGTAGAAGTTGGGCCAACTACTGACGAGACTGCCTGCTCGCCCAACCGCACCGACCCTCACCGAGTCACAGTACCGATTCACGCCATCGATCGGGCTCGGATGAATAAGGAGGGTACAGCGACGGATTGCCCAGTACTGATCAACGGGAAGATACAGGGAGCAGCAGTGAAGATTTTTATTGACGGAGGAGCAAGTCACAGTTTAGTTAATACCGCGACCGCACGGAAACTGCAGTTAACACTTAACCGCTGCTTACCTGAGATAGACGCATGCTTAGTCGACGGCACGCCACTGGCCATACGGGAAAAGGTGGAGCGAGTAAAAATCCGCTGCGGAGGGAACTTCGGGTTTACACAGGAAATGCTCGCCACGACACTGGATGGGCACGACATTTTATTGGGACGTGATTGGCTGCGACGGTATAACCCGCGAATCAACTGGACGACGGGTAGCTGCACCGTGCGAAGTAGTGGTAACTGGGTCGAACTACCTCGCTGGCAGTCACCCGAGTCTTCAACGGTCCACGTCAACGCCATCACGATGAAACGGGTTGTTGCCGCGGGAGCTGACGTGTACGCAGTGGATATAGCACTAGTAGGAGAAGAGGAGCAGCCGAGCGATTTTCTGAAACTGTTGGCAGCGGTACCGCCTGTACTTCAGGATCTGTTGAAACGGTACCCGGGGATTTTCCCAGACGATTTACCGCAAGGACTGCCACCTCAGCGAGCGCATGACCATAGGATCGAGTTAGAACCGGGGGCACAGCCAACTGTACAGCGCCAGTTCAGACTGACACAGCCCGAGCTCGACGAACTAAGGAAACAGTTAGATTATTTGTTAGAGAAGCAGTTTATCCGACCGAGCTCGTCACCGTTCGCCGCACCGATACTGTTCACACCGAAAAAAGACGGAGGATTTCGCATGTGCATTTATTACCGAGCGCTCAACAGAGTAACAGTCCAAATCGCGATACCCCATCCCCCGCGCCGACGAACTGATCGACCAGCTGCAAACAGCACGGGTATTTTCGAAAATAGACTTACGGGGGGGTTACCATCAAATTCGGGTCGAACCATCGGACTGCGCCAAGACAGCATTAAGGACTAGGTACGTGTCATTCGAGTACACGGTGATGCCTTTCGGGCTGACCAACGCGCCCGCAACATTTCAGATGACCATGAACGAGGCGTTTAGGCCACTTTTAGATAAATGCATGATAGTTTACCTCGACGACATCCTCGTTTACAGTCGCGACCAGCAGCAACACTTAGTCGATCTCGAAGCAGTGTTTAAAATTTTAGAGGAACATCGGTTACTCACCAAGGGCTCCAAGTGCGAGTTCTTTCGGGATAAGCTAGAATTTTTAGGGCACGTTATTTCGGAGGCTGGAGTTGAAATCGACCCCAAGAAGCTGGATACCGTAAAAGCGTGGCATCCCCCGACGAACATCACGGAGCTGCAGAGTTTTTTAGGGTTTGTTAATTACGTTCGTCGATTCGTCCCCGACATGGCACGATTAACAGCCCCGCTAACAGATTTACTATGCAAGGGGATCATTTTTACGTGGGGGGAGAAAAAACATGCTGCCTTCTCTGCCCTGAAACATGTTCTCTGTTCACCACCCGTGCTACGCATCGCTGACCCACATCGCCCCTTCGAAGTTGTTACAGACGCAAGCGACATCGCCATTGGAGCCGTACTGTTTGTCAAACATTATATATGTTGTTGTAGTTGTTTAGGCTACAGTGGGTTAGCCTATAGGGGGTACACATTCCTAGGTTTTGATACTTGTACTCATTTCACTCTTAGTTCATTCATTCTTGTTCAACATGGTATAGAGCAGGTCCTTCCTAGGACCGATTTTTTTTAGGGCCCACCACTACCTACCTACCTACATGCGCCCTAGGGCGCCTCGGCTTTCACGCCCCTAGAGGCCCCGTCGGCCCCGCGCTCTCGCACCTAGAGGCCTCGGTCGGCCCCGCGCTCGCTATTAGAGGCCCCGAATCGGCCCCGCGCTTACCCCTAGAGGCCCGCGTCGGCCCCGCGCTCGTCCTTACCGGCCCCGATCGGCCCCGCGCTCGTCCCTCACGGCCCCGATAGGCCCCGCGCTCGCCCTTAGAGGCCCACGTCGGCCCCGCGCTCGTCCCTTACGGCCCCGATCGGCCCCGCGCTCGTCCCTCACGGCCCCGATAGGCCCCGCGCTCGCCCTTAGCACCCACGTCGGCCCCGCGCTCGTCCCTCACGGCCCCACCCGCTCCCCGCGCTCGCCCTTAGCGGCCCCGAACGGCCCCACCCAGACCGAGCAGCCCGAACCGAGCCGACCCGAGCCGCCCAGCCCTAACGGAACCGAGCCGCCCGACCCGAGCCGCCAGCCCTAACCGGCCCGAGCCGCCCGAACTGAGCCGCCCGAACCGAGCCGCGCCGCCCGACCCGAGCCGCCCGAACTGAGCCGCGCCGCCCGACCCGAGCCGCGCCGCCCTACCTATACCGAGCCGCGCCGCCCTACCTGTACCAAGCCACGCCGCCCTACCTACCCTACTGCTCCTACTGCTTTTCCTACTGCTGCTACCATGGCTAGCCCTCCTGTCCTAGCCTTCGACACTGAGGGCCGCCCAGTGAAGTTCGACACCTGGCTTGATGACCTACACCTCTTCCTACAGCTCACTGCCAAGGAAGACATCTCGCTGTACGATCATGCCTTAGGCCAC